AGTTTACCCACCCACAGTTATTGATTGTTCAGGACTTGGCTTCAACAACTGGACACTGACGGAGAATTGATTACCTTGACGAATATCTGCTGTGCATCTTTTTAAAAATGCACATTTTGGGGGCAATATTGCACCAGTATTGGCAGTGAAGTACAGCTATCAGATATCTGGGGCATGATCAGGAGAATGGGTGGGGTCAGAAGAAGTTATGCACTACCAGTATTAAGTAGTGGGGACAAAATGGCAATAAATAACTTGGAAAATGCTGAACTTCTTTCTCTAACATTTAGGAAGATACACAGTTCAGAAAATCTCACAGAGGAGGCCAAGCAGAGGAGATGCACAACCTTAATAAGGAACCCCAACATATTGGAGAAATTGGAGATGTCAGGAGATCTGTTAGACCTGAATTTTGATATGTTTGAGCTGAGAAGAGCTATCTCCAGTGCTCGTCAAACTACTCCTGGGAAAGATGGTGTATGTTACAAAATGCTGGAACACATGACAGAGGAAGCACTCAACATAGTGTTGAGACTGTTTAATGAGGTTTGGGAGTGTGGTCAACTTCCCACAGTGTGGAAACAAGCAATAATAGTGGGGTCAGAATATTCCAGTATATATGAGGTAGAGAATGGTACTCCGCAGGGGAGTGTGTGTAGTCTATTGCTTTTCAATATAATGATCAATGACATATTTTCTAAGGTGGAAAGAAACATAGGAAAGTCTTTGTATGCGGGTGACGGGGCTCTATGGGCAAGAGGGTGTAATATAGCTCATGTTAGTGGGAAAATACAAGCCGCTATACTTGAGGTGGAAGGATGGGCAAGTCAGTGGGGGTTTAAACTATCAGTTGCAAAAACTCAAGTGATTTGTTTTTCAAGAAGAAATAGAGTTACTCCACTCTCATTAAAACTGTATGGGCAGCAACTGGAACAGTTTAAAGTTTTCAGATTTCTTGGGGTCTGGTTTGATGAAAGGCTTACGTGGAGCACTCACATAGAAAAAGTTGTGTCTAAAAGTAAGAAGATCATGATTGTAATGAGGTGTCTGGCAGGACAGGAGTGGGGAGCCAGCAGAGCATNATAATAATAATAATCACAAGGGTTTCAATAGGGTCCTTGCACCGTTAGTGCTCGGACCCTAATAATAATCCGAGCAGTTCCAATAGGGTCTTCGTACCCTTTTGGGTGCTCGGACCCTAATAAATCACGTCTACTGAATTAATCAATGCACAAATGCATCCATGTGATATATTTGACATAAAAACTGATTCGTGTCAGCTCTTAACAACAAATACTACAAATATTTCACACAAACAGGCAGCAGTCTGGTGTTAATACTCGACCAACACAGCGAAAAAGGATTTTTAAAAAAACAAACAAAAAACAAACATATTGGTGGTACATTTTTAGCTATTTTCTGATATTTTACAGATATTTTACATTTTACAGAGCGCCGAGAAGACGATCAAACTTGACCATCTAGAGGAAGTAAAAGTCGTATATATACATGTATAGCCATAAGCTGCATTAACTTACAATACATGTTGTATTCTTGCTGATTTTTACCACCCTATGCCAGTTGCTTGTAGTAATATTCTTGCTTTTCAACAATATGTGCCCACAGATAGCAGCAGGACTCAAAACTAAGCATTAACTGAGAAACTGAGCTTTAAGCTTTAAAATGGTGAAACTAAAAGGGTGGGCGCCTCAACGTTGAGCTATCAGTGGTGTACTTTATCTTCTTGACAGTCTGCTGATCTATCTGAGGGGAGGCCATTATGTCAGCATATCATGGTGAGTTTGGATCAGGTTTTATCGTAGTGAAAAGCAAAATGAAAGAGGGAGGACAGTCTTGCTTCAGTGAAGCCTTTCAGGAAGATAAAAGTCAAGAAAAACCAGCCTTCCCCGTACTTTCCACACTGAGTAGCCCTTTGAGCGCACATGCATTCTTTGTCTCTATTGTAAGCAGGACAACAGAGGTTTTCACATTTGCAGATACATGTTGTGTTAGTGGCTTAGGGCCAAAGAAGATTTTGACTGTGTTGCACTGCTTGTTGTGTCACAGTAATGGTATTAATGCCACTTATCTTAAATGACAGGGTTCCAGTCAACACTCTACACTTTTGGTGATGTGGCTGACCAGGAAAGAAGAACTCCTTTTAAACAGCGAGTAAAGGCACTCAGCAGGATTCATCATGTCCATCAGACTTTCCAAGAGACTGAGCAGCAGGAAGAAAAGTATGTTTCTTTCTTTATTTTGTTTTTTCAATTTGAACTAACTTTTTTTTCCCACAATTAACCTGAATATGCTGTCAGTAATAGATAGACATTTGGAAAATAACTTAGGGACTGTTGTATATGTACACACTGTAGCTGTCTCAATGCCCTACGCTCTAGACTTTGTTCCTCATCTACATGATTGAATATATTGCCTTATTTCAAAATAATCGCAGGCCTTCTTCTTTACATCCAAAGGATTTGTGGTATAAATGAGCAGTAATCATTTTTGCAGAAAGAAAGCTATACCTCTAATTACAATTATAAAGGGAGGCCCACAAGTAGACATAAATGATCAAAAGAAATATTATCAATTTCTTAGGCTAGATAATTGAATGGCTCAGGTCCTATTAGTCTGAATTAAAATGGTAGGGGGAGTATGACTGGCAGTTTTTACTGTTTTGATGAACAGGTTAGTTCTCCAGGCAAATCTGTGGCCAACACAGACTCTATGGCCCTACAAATATGTTTATGTTTTCCCTGAACCTCAGCTGCCAAAATAAATGGTATGACTAATAATGGTAACCATGCTTACAACAAACATGATAAGAAAAAAAACTGGCAATGTGTCAAGGTTTATCTTGGGAGTTCTGCTCATTCCATTAAGGAAGACAGAAATTAATTTGCACTGACCACTACAGAGGCCTTCTGTGACTGTTCTGGTTTTGGAAACAAAATGAGCTGAAACTTCCCGGACAGGAGGGATGTGGTTGGATGAAAGCACTGCAGGACTGAATGTTTTAATGTGTTTACTCATTAATGATAATTGAGTTGGTGGCAACAAATGGAAATTTTGATGGTGAAGGCATCAAGGGATGGTCTGCTTAAGGGAAACACTGCTGCTTTGTCTGTAGGTGTAGGGAGGCCCTGAGGTCAAATGTAATGACTCATTAGCTTCAGAGATAATGTACCTTTTCCTGTTAATAAAAGGTTAATGACTTAATTTAATGTTCTGTTACATGCATCGATCAGATACAGCATTAATACAACCATTGGTGCATGGACTTAGGATTTCTGTGGGTGTCCTGTGGTGTCTGGCACCAGGACATTGGCAGTGGTTCCTTTAGGCCCTAAGCTGGTTTTGCCATGTGGTGGAGTGCATTGTCCTGCTGGGGAATACCGCTGTCTCTTTGGGTGGGTGATACTTGTCAAAGTAACATCCATAGGAAAGCCAGGACCCAGACAGTTAGTGTTTATTACTTCACCTGTTGGTGATTTTATTGTTGTGGCTGTATGATCCATAACAGCAGATTATACATAACAATAACAAAAGCAAGTGAATTTCATTCTGTTTACTATTTTTTCAAAGAAAAGCATCTTCAACTCCTGATTCAAATCAGACAACACCTGAAAATGACAAAGAACACGAATTTAGGTTGCATGACAGCTTTGCATTTTTAAATATCCTTGTATTATTATTTTTGTTCAAAGAGTATATGTAACCCATGTCACTGAAAAATCATTTATTTGCAATTACTCAACATAGGCTTTTATAAAGTGCAGCTTTCTTCCCTCCTCATGCCAAGTGAAAGAATTGTTTTCTCTGATTATATAAAATTTCATGTCACACCTTGCTGAACAGAAGTTAAGTTAAGTCAAGACAAGCTGCTAATACACAGCCTAAATGATTGCTGTGTTTTTTTCAAACTAGAACCAAAGGACAATGCCCAGACTGATGTTCTACATAAGCTCGGCCTGGAGGCCTACATGACTACACCACTGGACCCAGCATCTATGTTAGACATCAGTACTTGGACTCTGGAAAACTGCACTCCTCTAGAGCCAAAAGATCTACCAAATGCTTTTCTCCAACGTCTCTGGCTGCTTCGTCAAGATGCCCGAAGCCCTTGTTGTCAGCCTCTACACGACACTCTTAACAATAACAAATCACCTGAGGAGATGCTCAATGGTTCTGAAGGAGAAAACCAGTGTGTCATCAACCCCCTTGATTTAGTTACAGCTGTCTTCATGTCTGCCAACACTTTCCTTCAGCAGGAGATAACTATGCGAATGGCACAATGTCAGTTTGCTGTGCCTCTAGTCCTTCCGAACTTAGATCCAGAAGAACCCAGTAACTTTCTTCTTTGGCCTTTACGAGCTGTCATGAGCCAATGGAAGTCTCACAGTCCGGATAACAGCGGAAGAGTCCAAGAGGGGGGTTTAGCAAAAACTTGCATGCCAGTGGTTTCTTGCGTGAAGCTTGGTCATTGCAGTATCTCCAAGTCAAAGGTGCTAAACCGTGTCCTAAGTGGACTCAGATCTGACAGTGAAACGTTTCTCCACAGGGGAATGGATGGAGGGCAGCTGCCTCGCAGACTGTCCAATGGCCTGGTAGAGGTTGGATGGTCTCTACCCATTGGCGATATCATCAAAGATATTTTTTCTGTCCCCGTGGCCATTACTAATCTACGTGGAGATGCCAGTACACATGATAAATGCCTCAGCCTTTTATGTCAAGCATCTTCAGCTGTGGTGGTTTTCTGTGGGGATCTTAGGGAGAAAGACAAACAATGTCTTGCTTTCTGCAAAGATACAGCAAGCAAGCTGATACTGGTTGATCTTTCAGACACTGAGAGAAATGAGAACAGAGTTGTGGGGTTCATTGGTGACAACCTGGCAGATGATATGGAGCTTTCTAAAGGGCTTGTGCTTCCAGGAGGAGGTTTAAGTGAGGAGGAACTGGCTAATAAGCTGTGTGACACACTAAAAAATCTGCTACAGGATAAATTGAAACTTGTTACACTTGAGGCAGCAGCAAAATTAGCAATGGAGATTGGCTTAAATGTGGATGAAGGCTCAGTCTGTAAAAAGGCAATGGCCACAGTGGAGGAAATGTTGAAAGGTTTAGATGAGGGACCTGCTGAATTTAGGCTGAAGCAGCTTCCTTTGCAGGGACATTTGTGGAGCAAATTGGCAGAAATAGAGAAAGAGGAGAGTAAACAGAAAAAAGAAGGTAAAGAAATTGATCCCCAAATGAAAAAGGCAAAGAAAGACATCTCGGCTGAGATGAGCAGCTACAAAATGACCCCAGCTATGAAGATTTTCACTGATGCTCTTTTTACCACAGATAAAGTGGAGAGGACTTATTTTCTTAGCTGGATCAAACTGAGACTTCAGCTGACGCAAACTGAAAACCAAAACAGTCCACAAGTTCTGTCCACAAATCTGCCAACAGAACAGAAAGATGGCATGCCTGAACATTCAGATGATTTTGAAAATGGAGCCAGTGACGGCCTTGATGACAGTGATAGTTTCTGCACAGATTCAACATCTGAAGAGGAAACTGAAATGCAGCCTGTAGATACTGAATTGCAAGACTCAGAGCAACAGAGTGAAATAGAGCAAGAGTCACAGCAGTCCACAGAAAAAAACATAGAACCACCTCCACAACAGGAAGACGATCTTGAGTCCATACATGAGCCAGAAGTGCTGGAGTTAAATGTGGCATCAAATGAAACAGAGATTCAAGGTGAAGAAATTATTGCAAACAAGGTCTGTTTGGAAGAGCAAATTTCTCAACCAAACTCTGAGGACAACCAAAGCTGCCATTCCGAGTATGAAGAAAATGGCACTTTGAACTGCCAAGAGAATCAGTCACATGAACCAGAGCAGACAATTGCTGAGCCAGATTCAGCTTCTCCTGCCAAACAACAAATGTCCTTCAATGTTTCCTTTGAAAACCAGGTAGCCTCATGTTCACAGCCTTTTGAACCTGATCCATCTTCATTGGGGCTTGAACACTTTCTGCGTGAGATGGGCCTAATTTTTGAGCTAACCCACATCAGCCCCGGCAGTGGGAGCCACAATGTGTTGCGTCTCCCCAGCTTAGCAGCAGACCTTCTTCTCTATGGAATTCCACTTGAACTAATGGATGGAGATGCTGCAAATATCCCCATCCACTGGCTGAGCTGTGTCTTTGCAGAGCTCAAACACCGCCTACCTCAAGAACAGTGCAGGACCAGAGTGCTAACAAACCTTGGCGTTCATCATGCTAGGAATGCTGAAGTTCTTTCTGCATTGTTTGGGGTGAAATTCCCAGAGGGGAGGAAAAGATCCACTCGTGGGGTGTACATGGTTGCCCTCTGTCTCCCTTATAATCTTAGACAGGACATGGAGTGTGACTTTCTGTTGCTGATTGATGTAGAAGGTCTCTGCTCAGTCCCAATAGACAGCAAAAGAAATGCGCTGATCCATGACAATGAGATGGCCACTGTTGCAGCAGGATTGAGTGATGTTTTAATGCAGAACATTTCATTACATGCTAGTTCGGAGTTTGAAACACACTTCACAGTCATAGCCAATGCTCTCCTGCGCATCAAAGAATCTGGCTCCATGCCCATTTGTCAACTTCTGCTCCAGGATGAAGGAATAAACAGTCTATTACAAGCCTCACAGTTACGGCGTGTTTCTGAGATGCTTCAGACTGAGACCAGACACGGTGAAACAACCTGCACCAACTGTGTCAAAGGGCCTTGGTCCAATCTGTCTCTTTCTGAACCAGTTGATACACAGTACAGCAATGCTGTGTTAAAGCTCAAGGTAAACCTCTTTGGGGCATTGAAGAATTGTGCAGCTAAGTCTAAACCCTCAGGGCTTCCTGAGTTTACCCGACGTTTAAGTGCTGTGTGGGATTCAGTAAAAGCAGAATCCTTCTCCATTGGTCTGCAAAATACACATATAGCTTTGGCATTTTCGTTATTGTGCACCGAGTTTTCCTTGTGGAAGGACAGTTGCCTGGATAACATTGAGAGCTGGTTAATGGGGGCAACCAAGAAAATCTTTGCCACAAAGGCAAAAGCTTTGGACGCTGAAGTCCAAAATGAACTTTTGAATGAACTGAAGAATGAAGCCAGAGAGGAAGTCAAAACCGAGATGGACAAAGTCAGATCAAAAGCAGAGGCCTACTTAATGCAAGATGACTTAAAAATGAACTCCGAAACATTCAGGCCAGTCCTAATGAGCAATATGGCCAACCTCCAGGACCGAGTAATCGAACAGATCATACAAAAGTTGGACACAGTCAATGAGAGTCATTGTTCTTCTACACAGCTGAAAAACTTTGAGACCTTGCTTGAAAAAGAACAAGAGTCCAAGCTACAAGCATTGGTAGAGAAAAGCAGGTCAATCAAAGTTCTCCTTCAAGATTCAGAGCTAGAAGAGGAGTTTGAGGGTGTGTGGAGTAAGACTTTGTCCAACTTTGACTTCAGACCTTCAGAAAGAGAAAATATTACTGCAAGAGTGGCAGTTATTCTGAAACACAATCTAATCAGCCGTGGCCTTCAGAAACACATGAAAAAGCTTGAACTCACGGGCCTAAGCCAGACAGAGAGCTTCCAGGTTTCTGATGAGCACTTTGGATACCGTAGCAGATTAAGACACATGTTTGAAGACAACAACAGACTCCAGAGGTTAGAAGCTCAAGAGGTAGCATGCAGTATCATAGAGGAATACAATCAGTTTGTGTCAGACAAATGTAGCTTATCAGCAGATTTCTCAGACAGCTACATTACAGAACTGCTAGAAAATGTTGAGAAAGCGCTGAAGGGAAAATCCATGGATATCAGATCAGCTTTTGAGGTAGATCTAAAACTTTATCTCTGTAATGCTGCATGCCATGATTTCCAAAAGCTACATGACCGTTATGCCAAGGACAGAGAAGTTTTGACAGTCATCACAGAAAACAAGGGTATGTATCTGGCAGAGTTTATCTACCACTTCAGGAAGAGAGACGAGTGCCAGAGGGTTGCCCAGGCTTTCACCTCTATGGTCATCAAACCCACAGTGATGGACTACATCAACAGACCACTGGGGATGCAGATTGTAGAAGAGATCCGAGGTAAAGCCCAGCAGTATAAGTACCCACAAGCTTTCCATCAAAGCTTGCTGGAGGAGCTGATTAAAGAAGACCACTTTGAGAGCTTCCTTGAATACTTGCTTTCCTATGATGACTTCACACGAAATAAGATCCAGGAGACAGTGGTAGCTCACCTCTCTGAATCAACCAACCTACGTAAACAGAGGCAACAGAGACTTGGAGAAATTGTAGGAAAGATTGCAGCAGCAGTAAGCCAAACAGCAGAAGGTACCAATGGAGTGTTGAGTGATACAAAGCCACTGCTGGAGAGAGCATGTCTCATTTTGGAGAAAGATGGGGATGTTGATGTCAACAGGGACTTTCTGATTGGACCCATGTTCAGTATCACCACAGAATGGGATTGTTTTGTTAAATGTTTAATGGACTTACTGGCCATAATGCGATTGGATCTCGCCCAGGAGTTCTCCCAAAATGTAGATGTACCCCAGCTTTTGAACAGCCTTCCAGTTCAGCCCCAAGAGTACCTCTTCAACAGAGTGAGAGGCTGTGACAAGCTGTGTCCTCACTGTGGAGCTCCCTGTGAGGAGGAGGAGATGGGACATGAGGTTCATAAGACCTGGCTCCATCGGCCCAAAGGCATGCTGCCTTATGACTCCTATTCTCTGTCCCATATCTGTTTCCCTGAAAGCATGAGCCAGAGCAACCCAGACCAGAACCAGGACACAAAGGATACATCTATGACATGTCAAGACCTCCAGTCTCTGAGCCCAGACTGGACCATCTCCCCTGATGACCTTAACAGCCAAAAGGCCAGTGATTACTGGAGGTACTGTGTGACCTGTTTAAGTTCATCTATACATTTGGCCATAGATTGTCCTGGATGAAATTAACAAAATGTTCTTTAATTTCTAGGTATGTGTTGGTGAGGTTCAATGAGAGGTTCGCAGAACAATTCAAGCAGGAGCCAGCAGAGATTCCTCATGAATGGAGGAAGATCACTCAGCAGGAGGCCTTAGACAGTCTGAAGTCAGTCTTCCTCACAAGACAGAGTTGCTAAAAGGCTGCATTCAGATTAAGTTAAAAATGCATTACTTGACTCAATACTTGAAAAAGTACAATGGAATTGTCGGGCAGCTGACGCTACACAGAGATGTTGATCGTATACATTTGACGTGAGCCATGAAACGCCTCAAGCTCGAAACTTCTGATTTAAACTGAAAGCTGCATAAGGACTTTTCAATGCTGCATTTTGTCTTTATTGTTTGTTTGTGACATTTTTAAATAAGAGTCAGATCCTAATGAACAAAGTGTAAAAGAAAAAAAATCAAGAATTGATTCATAGCACTGATTATGGTAACACATGTTTTATTTTCTTGTATTTATGAATATTCCCTTAATGATAAAATGTGCTTTCTGTAAATTGTACTTTTATACTTTTAATATTAAATATGTTAACTCTTTATTATCCAACTTTTTCCCCACTGTTTTTACCACAATGAGAAAATGTATTACCATGGATTTAAAACCAATCATTGTCAGAAACGCAGTAGTGAAATAAAAGTAGGTTGCCTTTTAAACATTTGTATTTTTTACAAAGAATTTGAATATATTTAGATTTATGGACTAGCAGAAATATAAACTGCTACAGAAAAACATCTCATCCTTTTTTCACCTTATATTTAGAAACGAATTCTTAATATACAAACAATTGTTAGGTTTTTTTGTTTGTTTTTTAAATCTATATTCAGATGGATTGGTTAGGATACCACCCTTTAACCTGAACATGTTATTAGGTTTAAGTGAAACTAAATATAAACATCTAAGTGTGTATTGAAATGTCAAATAAAAAAGGGGGGGAAAGTGTATTTCTGTGCTTAATTTGAATTACCTGCTAAAATTTGGTCCACATGACTTACCCTATTTTGTTTTTGGATGTAGGTGTGTGAAAGATTTTCCTTTGTAGGACTATGTATTTAAATAGGTTTGATCTGTATGTCTCCAAGGATGCTGTTGAGTGAATCCCCAAAGAGCACACTGTATCATAGTGTGCATCCCAAACATTTAAAGACATTTCTGGCATGCAAATTTCAGATGTAAAGAATGTGGTCATTTGATGAGCATGAGCGAAATGAGAGAGACAAATGTATGAAGTATGGAGAGAAAAGTCCATTGGTGAAATCCACAAGAGGGCAATGTAGGATGGAGGAATCCCAGACAGCTCACTCAGATGAAGGAACAGGATTCAGTCGTATATCTTTATCCCAAACTGAATTTGCTCCTCCTTACTCTGTAGTTTATTGACAAATTTATCATTCCTCTATTGGTCCAACAATCTTACTTGGAGGATATTTTAATAAAATGATTTATTGCTTTCACAGCTGTGGCTTACGCTTTAAAGCCTGGCAGCTGAGCACAATTTGCAGCTGGTTTTAGTTCCCTTTAGAGGAACTGAAAGTCCCGAATACTGTTTTATTAGTGAATTTACATGCCCACCTCACTTGGAAGGTGGTGCTGCTTTTTCGACAAAAAGTCAGAGATGCCTACATTTGACCTGTATGTTAGCTGTGCAGTTCAGTAACTGACATGTTTTAATGTACTCATTGTTTTTTACTCCACTTCTTTGATGTCAAAACAGTCCAATCCTTTATAAGAATACAAGCACAACTGTTTTATCTATTATAGTAAGTTAATGTTGTATTTAGCTGAAATAATTTCATCCAGTTTCTTTTTAAGCTACAATCACAGTTTACAGTTAAAGTGTGGCAAAGTGCTTTTTAGAGTAAAAACTATGCCGGCGAATCAACAAGTGGCAACCTAACGTGCCAACCTCATCCTTAAATAGAAAAAGAGCAAATGGATGTGACCAACCCCAGTGTGAGGGTCTCTGCCTGAACCCACAAACAAATTATTTTACAGGTACAAGGACAGCCGGAGACGTGCATTCAAGTCAAAAACTCAGTATTTATTATTAAAAGAAGATAAAAGAAAAGGACAATAATCAGGTTAAGACCAAGCATTTAATATTGTACTATTAACAACCATTTAAAACTAAAATGCAACTGAACCAACTGGTTACAAAATATATAAAAAGGTATCAGACAGGGTACGCACCGCGGGGAGATGCTATTGCAAAACCCAATCTCACTCACCACGTGCACACCGTGATCACTGCAAAGCACTTTAATAAACACTGCAGACTGAGGTAAATCTAAAAACTAGTTTAGGTGCTCACCACACTTCAGACCTACCACACTGCATGCAAAGAAAGGTGTGTATACCACGCGTACTCCCCGCAGATCCTCCCACTGCTTGAGAAACAAACAAAGAAGATACAATGAGTTCTCGGTTGGTTCTTGGTTACAAATTCATCATTCAATAGAGATCAAATATCACAGAGCAATAAAATTCAGACATCAAAGCAAACATGGATGGCAGTAGACAACTTATGATGAGCCGATTATCAATCCACAATCATAAGAGACACATCCACTGGACCACATGGCAAATCCAGTCCAGGCAAAGCAGCAGTCTGGCATTAATTCTGAAAGAGGGAAAACACATTATATTTACTGGCAAGTATACCTCAGAGGGAATAACCCTCCTACATTACCATACAGTTTACCTTCTCAATCTCTGGCTCTATAAGAGACTGCCACTGGTGGAGCTGACTGACTTTATACTGGGACCCAGTGAGGCTGACTCATGTCCTCTTCAGCATGGGCCTACAGGGCCTTAATCAAACCGAGTTGAGAGGGAAAACAGTCACACCACAATTCTGCACAGCCACAGCAGTCCCATCAAAACCTTTCTTGTTGTTTGAACCTTTCTTGCTTTCTAAAATCTCCCTTACCTGCACAGACACAGCAATCCCACCACACATCTACCAGGCCTCAAACAAAGAGGCACTAATGGCTCTCACCTGCGCTTATAAGGAGGGCGGGCTCTCTCTAACCCTACCTACAAGGGGCGGTGCTCCTAACCTAAGTGCCGGCTCTCACATCGAGTACCCACCAACTAAACATCCAAGTACCAGGCTTTTACTAAAGATACATGTTTTATATTCTAAGAATAACTGGTTGGAAGGGCATTAGTTTGACTGCATTTTTCATACACACACACACACACCTACACACACACACACACACACACATATATATATATAAAGTAGCATGAACTTAAAGATTTATATATATACATTACACAATACAAAAGACAGAAAGCTAATGATGAATCAGTGATCAACAAATTACAGATTGTCACGGGGGTTCATGAATATACATATAGACTGTCATGGCATCCGTTTGTGGAAACATTCCAATCAAATCCACAAACATGAATCTCACGGTGGTGTTAGATGAAAGGTCAAAAGATTACCACAGTCATTGGGATTCATGGTGTGATCACATCGACTATATGCAGTTCTCTGCCATTCCATCAGTAAATGTTGAGACAGGATAAGTGAAAACCCTGACCTGCTGGCAACCCTATAGAGAAAAGGTTGGAGATCACCAAAGCCAATTGGATTTCTCCTCAGGGGACCATAACTGTCTGTGCAAAAAATCATCTGATTGACTGAACAACTGGCCAACTGGAAGATGGGCATGTTTTTGTAAACTGGTGTGGAAAAAATACTGTCAACAAAAGGAAACCATATTTAAAAATGTAATATAATAATATACAATAAGACAGAGATTTAAGAGGCAGCTCTGCAGGAAGACAGGAAGTCAATTCCTGGGTCATGAAAGAAAGATGGCCAGGCTGAGACAGGATCAGCAAGGCTGCAGAATAAACACTGAGAGTGGGAAGAGACAGAGCTAAGGCTGCTGCAAACCTCACATCTAAGCATAGAACAGTGTTTAAAGTTCAGCAGGTTATTTTTTTCAGTTGTCACTTCTGCAGTATGCGAGCAACAAACATCGCACACCGGTATTAATCTTCTACCCAGCAAATGTGGATATGTATGTCTTGCTGGCAGCTTGCTTGACTCATTCCACTATTTTATTGCTGCACACAAACAAACAGATAACATAGGTGGCACAGAGTGTACACTATAGACGACAAAGCAACTTATTTCCATCTCCTGATCTAATCTGTGTTGTTTGCAATATGACAGTCTGCAGTGAAGTGCGCTGAGAAGAGTCACCTCAAGAGTGAAGATAGAGGGAACATTTGCAAGCATGATTTGTGTGAACATTTAGCAACACACTAAACTGTAACCATTTTGTTAAAACGATTGCTGTAGCTTTGTTTTTTGTTTTTTAATAATGAGTTATGTACTAGAGCTTTTAAACTCTACAGGGTAGAACTCTGAGTACCCTCTCATCCAGAGCTCTGCTTGTGAATGATACTGTCCTGTTTGTCAATACTTCGAAAAGATTTGATGGAGAACTCTGAAGTGCTGTAGTTTGTCACTCTGGCACCTCAAATTGATTCTAAAGCGACATCAATATCAGGCCCGATTCCTTTTAAAGTGTTCGTAGCGCTGACAGACTCAGGCTCTGTCAAAAAGCCAGCCAACAGCTGCCACCATATACTTGCCTGTGATGCACAGCTTTAACCTTTTTAGCTGGGGGAGTGGGAGTGGACAGACTGACTGATTACACAAGTGTCTACCAACGTGAGAATGGCAGGATATAAGTACCTGCCAGTTGATTTTCATACCAAACTGACATGAATGAAAATAAGCTGTAAAGTAGGGGGGGGGGACAATGTCATTCATGAACGTGTCTCTCTGGAAAACTGTCCGCAGCAATGTAAAGCATATACAGGTTTTCTAGTGAAGGAGGAAAAACTGACACATAACGGGATTCTGCACAATTTCTCAAAATAGAGGCTCCATGTGTGCATCAAAAATACAATTTCCACAGTTTCTAGAGGCAAGATATGTTTAAAAGGTCAAAATATCAGAAATGTTGCATTATTTTACATAATTTGGGAAATGTCAGCGAAATATAGTGTGTAATTAAAGCCAATGTTTCACAAGGCAGCACCGGCTTCTTTCAGCGTGGCTTATATTACTTTTATCCGAGGCCATGTGTTCTGCAAATCACAGGTCTCTCAGCCAGATGTTGCCACACCAGACAAGAGTAAACAGCAGCAAATAGTGCCTGAGCTAACAGAAGCATGTGAAACCACAGCAGTTCTCAAACACAATCTAACTATGTTCTGCTCATTTCATCTGGCAGGTCACAGCTCATTCTGTCCCCAGCAGGCTCCAGCGCCAACTTGTTAGACAAAGAAGAAAAAAAAAAAAGCAACAGGCAGCAGCAGCAATAATTTGTAGTCGATAAGCTATCACTGAACATAATGATGGGCAAACACATTCAAAGAACAACAAGGCGCACAAGAG